TTCTCACCAAGTTGTCCAGGCGGGTCTCGAACCCACGGGCTCAGACAATCCACTCACCTCAGCATCCCAAAGCACGGGATTACAGGCTGAGCCACCAAGCCAAACTCAATTATTCTATTTTCAAAAATACTATAAAGATCCTTGAAGCAATAAAGAGAAGATGATTACCCAGAAAATTAGAGATCTTCCATACAAAACTCATTCAATTTTCAGTCAACCAGAATCCAATTATGTCATAACTTGGGGGTCACCTATAATAACCAAATAGTCAATCATCTTCTTCTATTTTTCTAGTATTCAAAACCTAATTTATTTCTAATTTTATATTTCTAATCCTATTGGTAATTTTCCTCTAAGATGTTTTTCAGTTTATTTATATTTTTCTTAGGCCAATACAAATGTAAAAGCTGTATTCTAAGAAGTGTTTTGCCAGTGCTCATTATATCGGTAGAATGTTACAGATTTTGCACTGAGAAACCTGTGTTCCCATATTTTTAAAATGATACACCCATAGTGCTGCCTCATAGTTTCCAAACACTATTCTACCCTAAATTTTAAAAGTATAAACATTACAGTAGTCTGTATTATGTCCCTTAAAACAGAAGGGTAACATAGCTCTTTATTTTCTAAAACTTCAGTTGTTTTGTCTAAATGGATCAGGTATAATGTCACATATTGTGACAACCTTTACTGATACTTTCCAGAAATTAACAATCAGAAATTTGATAACTTGCTTGATTGATTGATTAAGTTCATAGATGAGGGTTAAAGCATAACTTAGAAGAATATTTGTAAGGAAAGTGTAATCCAAACTCAAAGACAGGGCCCTGAACTCAATGACAGAGATGTTTGTCATGACACCTAACTCCAACAGGGGAAGGACTATATGTAACCAAGTAAGTGCATCAAGGTTTTATGGAAGAGGGGTATGTGGTGCATAGAGGTGGGTAAGCAGAAGGCCCAATTCTACGTTACTGTGAGGAGAGTTATTACCTGGAAAAGCTACTGAGAAGAGTAGAAATCAATGATTACTTAATTAGGATTTGTTGCTTTGAAGATTTTAAGAAAAAAAAAATCAACCTAAGCAAAACCATAAAAAACTTTTAACAGAAAATCTAACCTAATCATTACAAATTGGTATTTCAAAAGCAGATACCAACAGATCATCTTTTCAGAGCTACACGAGTTTGACCTAAGATAACTACGTATTGTGGGTGACTACAAGCTAAAATGTATACCCCTTTTTCTAAATAAGTATGTGTTTCTGCTTTGAGCAATATTCTTTCAATAATAATAAAGTGAATTCTATTCACTGAGAATGGTAATAGTGTGGCTCTAAGTATTCATATTCATTTTTAAAATTGCTATCACTTAAGCTGAGAGTCTTATTTTGAAAAGTGATAAATTTAAAAATAAGAAATATAAATTCCAGCAGTCACTTACTTATACATTTCATAATTGTTCTTGTTGCTTGAAAGAACATGTTTACCTGATTAAGGACCTTCTGCAGGTGTGGAGTCCCCATTCGGTCAGCAATGTGTCTATAAGCTGGGTGGGAAAGGAAAAATTTCCTTTCTGCCAACATGGCTGCTTTGATGTCCTTCTTCCCATCTATGTCCTTCTGGCTTCTGTTTACCACCCCCACGTAACCTGAAACAAAACACAAACCTATGGAGCTGGGGACATTTTTTGCTGCTTATTCCAGGGAGGTTTCAAGGATTTCAAACAGGCTGACTAAGACAAAATTAGTTTTAGGCCTGAAACTAGGTCCCTTTACAAAACTCAACTGGAAGCACCAGTACTTCACACAGGTTGCTGAACTGGCTAATGATAATTTTTTAGCACAAACTCAGTTATGTCTCTCATCCTTAAAAGTGCTGTGCATTTTAAGAAAGCAAATCTCTTAGCAGATATCATATAGCAAGCAAATAAATATCAGACTTCGAACAAAAGAGTATATGTTTATATAGTCTATGATGAATATGTATAACCTCCCTTCAAGCCCCTTCCTTTTCCTGTTTTCTTATTCCTGTTATTTTAAGGAATAGTTCTCCCTTTGGATCATTTTTTAATACACCATTTGAGAACATAGTGCCATTCCATAAAAAGTAAAACTAACAGAGTCTATTCCTTACACCCAAAGAGGCATTAAAACCAAGCCTCTCAATGGTTTCCCAATCATTTCTCTGCCGTATCATCACAGGAAGTCTTGTATAGACCACAATACATTACCCCTGCGAAGAGGCAGTAGCTTGTTCTCTAGAACATCCCTGGCGTCCGTTCCTTCATCCATAAGATCCAATTTGGTGATGACTCCAATGGTCCTCAGACCTGCATCATCAACAAACCCAACATTGCACAATTTGCAGAAAACTAACAAATTTTAGAGACATATATGCCCCATGCTAAATATAAAGCACATTTCCCTAGTCCTTTCCCTATTTCCCTCTGTCTTACTTTGTTTTCTAATCCACTGTTACCCCAGTCTGATGATTTCAATGTGTTAAGGAGGAGAGATGCAAAACCACCCATCCAAAAGATAACTTTCAACCCAGTAGAGAAAAACAAATAACTGAATCACCAAAAAACCTTCTAAATATATGGCTTTATTTTTGTACCATACATAAGTGTAAATTACACATTTTCCTCCCAAGTCCTCTACCTAATATACATGCTTTAAATTTTATATATTACATTATTAAAATCAAATAAACAAACAAATAGACAATACATGGACCAATGATGAGAGGGTGTCATAAACCAAGGGTTATTATTGATCCAATTCTGGGCACTTAAAGTAAAAATAATTAAAAGAAGAAAATCAGGTATAGAATAGTGCCATCACCAAAAACAAACTTGCAAGTACTACAACATTCAGTACGCCTTAGAAAAGGAAATATGGTTTAATGGAAAGAAGACTGAGCTGGGAATTATGAGGCTTAGATTCTAGTATCAAGGAAAGTCACTTAACTCTTTAGGTCTCAGTTTTCCTCATCTGTGAAATAAAAACTTAGAATTATGATTTCCGAGATTCTTTTCAGTAATAAAATACCGTTAGGAACCTAGACATTTTATGTAGCATATCAGATACATCTGTTTGTCCTTTGCTTTCTTCATTAGATGAAATGGACAGTATTTGCCCAGTGATTTACATTGTTAAGTGCATTCCTTTGGACTTCCAGTTAAACATGGTTTCTTGAAGACATTCATTTATCTTTTACCTGAAACTACTCTAAAATAATAATGGCTAATATTTCTTGAACTAGCAATGGTTTAAAATGAGTTATGTGGGACTTAAATCATTTAATCCTAAAAAACAGTCCAACTACTATTTTTTTTAAATGAGGAAATGAAGGCAGAGCGAGATTAAATAACTTGCCAAGATCAGACAATCACACAAAGCAGTGGGTTCAGGCAGTCTTGGTCAAGAGCCTGTGCTTCTAAACAATATAATGCTTCTCACACTAAAAATGTTTTCTTTAAAGGCTTAAACCAAAAAGGTCAAAGAGAATGAGAGGGAACTGCAGAAAAAATGTGAAACTGGAAACCTAGGGTGATGACTGGCTGACTACCTTAACAGACCAGTGAAAGAGGAAGACTGCATTCAAGAAAGCCAACAAGAGGAGAAGCCCAGAAGCTGGATAATTTATGTCACAGCATCTCAGGAAGGCTCAAGACCTAAGGGACTAATAGCTCTGAATACAGTGGAGAGGGGTGGTAGCAGCCGAGGCTGAAAACAGGAGCAACGGATGAAAGGAGTCAGAGCTAAGAGCTGGAAGCTGATCCCAGTCCATCCCAGCAGGAGAGTGTAGTCTGTGCTCTGGAAAGACTGAACTGGAGAAACCTTTGAAAACAAGGACATCTGACACAGTTTGGGGGACTAGGTATTGAAAGGGGTTAATTAGTTGAATTTCTACATGCTAACTGGTAAGAGCTCACCCCAATCCCCAGTCTAGTTTCCTGATCTGGTTTTAAGAAGGAGCTGGCTGGCAGACTGTTACTCCCCCAAACAAAAGACTGAAAGAAGCTTGTCTGGAAAAATTAGCTATTCCATGCAAGAAAAACGTAGATACTGACATATAGAGGAACCTCCACAAAACAGCCCAATCACCCAGTCATGAAGCCTACCACTCAATAAGTACCTCCACATAGAGCTTCCAGTCAGCTGTTACTGCTTCACCTTTAAATATGAATAGACATCCAAGAAGATTCTGAGACTAAAACAAATAAACATTATAAAACAGAAACTAGATAAAAAAAGATAATGCAAAAGAACAGAATAAAACATTCTTATTTTTATTAATATACTCAGAGAGAAAAGAGAAGTCATTGCATCCATGGAATAAAAATAAAATGCCATAAGAAGAAACATTCAAACAAAAACATTCTCAATAATTAAAAATATGAGAGCAAAAATTATGTTAGTAGAATGATTGGAAGACAACATTGAGAAACCCCCCCCAAAAAGAAAAAGAAATAAAAATAGAAAAAGAAAAAACATTTTTAAAAACTAAAGAAATTATGGAGAAGATTCAATATTTGAATAACTTGCACTCCAGAGAGAAAATATGAAATAGAAATAGTTTGGGGATGGGGGAGATTTCATGCAAGAAAATGTCCTATAAGTAAAAGATATGAATTTATGGATTAAGTGAATTTAACAAGTGCTCAACACAAAATGAAAACACACACACACACACACACACACACACACACACACACATACACACTATGGCATATAAGATTTCAAACAAATCCCACACTTTGGGTGGCTGAGGTGAGTGGATTGCCTGAGCCCGCAGGTTCGAGACCCACCTGGTCAACTTGGCGAGACCTCATCTCTACAATAAATCAAAAAAATTAGCCAGGCGTGTTAGTGTGTGCCTGTAGTTCCAGCTACTTGGAAGGCTGAGGCAGAAGGATTGCCAGAGCCCAGCAGGTCGAGGCTGCGGTGGCCAGGAGCGGCCACTGTAATCCAGTCTGGGCAGCAGAGTAAGACTCCGACTCAAAAAAAAAAAGATTTCAAAATATTAGGAATAGATAAAGGATCCTAAAAGGCTCCCAGAGGAGTTTAAAAAAGAAAAGTCACAAAAAAGAATTGGGAATCACTGTAGCATCAGTCTTTCCAGTAGCAAACTGGACACTGAAAAACAAGAGAGTAATGTTTTCAAATTTCTAACCTAGAATTCTAAACTGTTAACCAATGTGACAGTGGAAAAAAGTATTTTCAGACTTGCATAATCTCAAAATATTTTACCTCCCCTTCACCTTTTTTTAGAAAAAGGTTATGTGTTCCACAAAACAAAAGAGCAAACAAACAGAAGAACATAAGACCCCAGAAGCAGGTATACAGCCAGGAAAAGGTGAAAATATTCAGGAGTACAAGGCCAAGACAGCAAGCAATATCTATTGGAGTGGAGAAAACACAGTGTACTGGAGAGACATCTTTCTCCACCAAGAAAAAAAAAATAAAAGTGACAGTATACCTAATCCTTAAGGTTTTTGATGGTATTAAGAGATTGAAACTTCTGTAGGAGAGGCTGGAAATTCATTCGTAATAGATACATAGAAAAGTATGCAAATAAACAAAAAGAGAGACAATTATCAACCTCAAAGAAGACAGTATCATGCAAAAAGGAAAATTTAGTCACAATTTATCACATAGCTCAGCTGTGATAACATTTTCAGAGTCATAACAATTAACTTAGCCAAATATGATTATATCACTTTACTGGTAGAATGGAGAAGTGTACATGTCTGTTTGTGAGTATATGTAGATATAGGAAAGGGACATAAGACAGTTAAATACTCCTCTCCTGCAGTAGGAAGTCAAAAGAGAGCATCTAAAACCAAAAAAAAAAAAAAAAAAAATTAAGAAATAGCAGTAGAATTAGATTATGTAGAAATATGGAGGTAAATACCAAGAGATATAGCCAAAAGGGTTTAAAGTGATAGCCTCTGGAAAGCAGGATCCTGACTCTGGAATTAGAACAGCTGGGCAAGAGACCCATAGTTTTTATTAAAAGCCTCTGGGAATGACTTTTTTTTTAATGCTAGACATATTTATAGCTTTAATAAAAATAAAAATTGATTATAAAAGCATTTTCTTTTCTCCCTTATTTCTGGAAAGGCAGCCAGAACTACACTTAATGATATTCCAGAAGTGGCAAAGGGGACCATTTTCTTTTTATATTAAGCTACACAAATAGGCAGTTTAAAATAATCGATGAACTTCTGCTGGCAGACTCAAGACCTACATTGACAGATGTCAAAAAGTCATCACCAGAAGAGACTCTAAAGGCAGCACACTTTAAAGACACTTCACTGGAAACCCAAAGGCCTAGATAAAGTAGAGAACATTGTTGAGCCCTGGATATATGCCAGACACATCTAGGATTCAAAACAACAACCACAAGATAGGTACTATTACTTTTGCAATTATACAGGTGAGAAAAGTGAGACTTGGAGAGGAAAGTGCACATGCTTACAAGGTGTGTGACTCTGACTGTATGTCATTGAACTGGCATTCAAATCCAGCAAACTAATTCCATTTTTAATCACTGCTTTTCTGCCTCCCAACTCTCAGCTAGATTCTACAAATGATTAGTTATGTTATTTGACATCCTAGTCATATCATCTAAACCTGTTTATCTACAGAACTAAAAGTTTGACTAGATATCTCTTTCAAGTCCAAAATTCTGGGGAGGAGAACTTCCAGATTTAGAAGAGATTATGTAGAATAATAATTAAAGAATAATTTAACACAATCGTTATCCTCCACTAAAAGGAAAATTAAAATAATACAAATTAAGAGCCAATAAATAATTAGGATACTAAGGAGATGTCTAGTGTTTTAATTACATTTCTCTTCAGGAAAGAACAGCCACAATGATGAGTACTAATAAAAACCTTGAAAAGCCACACAAGATATTTCAAAAAATTTATTACTTAAATAGCACAGGGATTAAGTGCACTAACTCAAGAATCAGACTGCCTGAGTTCAAATCCTACCCATGCCTCTTACTAGATCTGTAACATTAGTGTCCTCATCATTATGCAACAGCATTAATAGGGTAAACACACATCACAGTTTTTGTATGTTGTCCTGGGATAACTATTAATAAATAATAACTGGGATAAGACTTCCTTTTTGAAAGACAAATTATAAGTTCACTCTAATTTACCAATAAAAGGGGGAAATAACAAGACTATGATTTAAAATAAATAACAGGCCTGCAGTTTGACATGTAAAGAGCTTGGAAGTTACCAATCCATCCTAACAACAAGTAAAAAGCTAAACAAACTGAAAGACCAAAATCCCTTCTTAGATC